ATACGCGAGGCACGAGAAACCAGAGAGCGAGCATATCGGCTTCAAGCGGACGCGGCTCGCGCCGCTGAAGGAGTTGCCGGCGCGGGCGCTGCGGCAGGAGCCGCGGCAGCAGCGGCGGCAGCGACGGCCGACGGCGAGAAGAACAGTACCTTCGAGACGAAGATTACCGAACGCCCCGACAAGTTTGACGGCAAGCAAGAGTCGTGGTCCGACTGGTGATTCTTGTCCAAGAGTTTCGCGGCTTCCCAGGGTGAGCGCGCTATCGAGCTGATGGACAGGTCAGCCACGTCGGCCGATGATCTACTCATGGGCAGATCGTTTGCCGACGAGAAGGTCCGAGACGACGAGAGATCGCGGACGTTGCTTCATTCGCTGACGGTTAGCATGACAATGAAGTCTCGAGGGTTCAAGCTGATGAAGAATATCAAGTCGTCGAATGGCTTCGAGGCGCGGGGGCATTTCATCGCAGAGTGCGAGCCGAGAGTTCTTGGACGTCAGGGCGCGCAGCTGCGCCAGGTATTGCGTGCGACGTTCAAGGCAGAAGCGGGCCAGCGAGAAGCCATCGAGTCGCGGGAGCGAGAAGTTGCAGCGCACGAGGAGCGCGCAGAGGACGTCTCGCCAGAAAGCATCAAGGCGAACGCGCTGGTCCAGGAACAGGAGGGCGGATTTACGAAGTCTCATTTTGCGCTGAACTCCGACGGGCCAGTTCGGCACCGCGACGTCCGCAATAAGGTTATAGGTTGCATTGTGAATCAGCGGGCTTGGCGCCGCGATGATGACCAGGCCAAGCCGATGGACGTCGACGCAGTTCGCCCTTGGCACGCAGGAGGCAAGTCGCAAGATGGCAAGGGGCAAGACGGCAACGGCAAAGGCAAAGGCGACAAACGGAACATCCAAAGGCGGCAGAGGCAATGATGACAAAGGGAAGACTAAGAGCGACAAGGGCAAGTGGTGCGACTGGCGCAAGATCACAGGCAATTCGACGGAGGCGCGCAGGGGGAATCGCAGGCGCGACCAGCGGATAGCGCAGCAGCGCAGCAAGACGAATGCCTTTGTTCCCCAGCAGCAGCACACTCACATTGCGGCGTCGTCAGGTCCAAGTGCACAGAGCACAGTGCACGCTCTTGGCCCGAACGACTCTGCCTCGATGGTGAACGCCATTCCCGTCTCGATGCTGGCCCAGCACCGCCCGGACATGGCCGGGCGCCTGGCGCAGTCCACGTGTGGGGCGGCTCCGACTTCAGCACTCCCGATGGCGGTGGCAGCGACGCAGCCGGGGCAACGTGAGACAAGGGGCGCCACTGCTGGAGAAGATCGAGCTTACGCATGGCCAGACACGGACGAGGAAGAGACCGTCTACATCGGCATGCTGGCATCGGCCAGCGACGACTCCCACGAGAACGCCGACTACGATTGCCTGATGATCGACAGTGGGGCTGGTGTCGCGACATGCCCGCCGTTTTTGGTGGGGCGCAGGGCCAGCGGGCTCAGGGCGGCGGGCCGAGACCGAGAAGCCACCGCCGTTGGAGGCGGCCACTGACCAGAGCATCGTGCGCGACGGCGCCTGCGAAGTCTGCTCAATCGCGAAGGCGACGAACCGGCAGCGCGAGATCATGATGTTCAGGTCCCAGGTGTCGAACGCGAAGTGCCCGATCGTCGCGCAGCAGGACTTGCCGGAGGCGGGCTTCGCGCCGAGGTGCGGCGTCTGGGCGAGCGTGCTGGAGGCGCCCAGTGGGGGGCTGTTCCCGCTGATCTCACAGGGCCGCATCTGGCACTTGCAGGTGAGGCGCGCGGTCGCGGCCGGCGAGCTCGCGATCGCGGTCGCGCCGCCCAGGCAGCCGGCTGCGGCTTGCCCATTGCCTATCAACCGAGGAGGGCGCGATCTTGTCGAAGCTGTAGGCGCAGTTCAGGAGGCAGCTGGGGGAGGGGCGGCGAGCTCATCGGCATCGGCAGAGGCGGCGGCAATGCCGGCCGGCACAGGAGAGGCTGGTCAGCGACCGCCAGGATATCGTCGTGAATCACAGGGGCGCGATCGAGGTGGGCGGGGGTGCCAGTCATGCAGCCGCTGGCCGACAGACAGCCACGCAGACGCACTCGCTGGCCCTGCCGATCGCGGCGCAAGGCATGCGCGGTAGGAGGAGGTCGCGTGGAAGTGCGCAGCAGGACAGATCAGGAGCGCGACGCGCCGCTGGTCTGGCTTGGCTACTCGTTCCCAGTCATGCGCGGCGCCGGCGACGCGATGGCCCTGCTTGCGCGCTTGGGCTTCGAGTCAACGGCGATTGAAAGCGCTGGCGCAAGTTGGCCATGCCATCGCGGTTCTAGTGCAGGCCCTCCAGTTCTGGGGCCGCAAGCGCGCGGTGATGTCGCGCGACCAGGGGGGCGCGATCGCGGCGCTGGGCAGAGCCGTCGCCGCGGAGCGCGGCGAGGAGACTGTCGCGCAGGTCGGCCCGAGGCTGGGCGCCGAACCGAAGGGGCCGATCGAGGCCGCGGGCGGCAGGGCGCAGCAGCTCGCCCTCACCTTGGTGCGCGCCGCCAGCGCGAGCTAGAAGGTCGAGCTGATGCCCTGCGACCCCATCTGCACCTGGCTGGCGAGACACGCTGGCTGGATTCTAACGAGGCGTGTCGTGAGAGACGACGGCTAGCGCCGCGCCGACGGCTCGAGGGGAGACGCGACCGCGGCCACATCGCTGAATTTGCGGAGACCGCGACGCACAAGTTGCCTGCAGGAGCGGCGGGCAAGATGGAGGCCTGACGGGGCAAGGGCATCCGGCTAGCTGGGGCGCGCCCAGGGGCAGGATCTCCTCGCGCTCACTTGCGCGGAGGCCCGACGAGAAGAGATGGAACAGCCACCTTCTCGGCCAAATCGCGCGCGCCCCTTCGGGCCCGAAGGCGGCGCTCCTGGCGGCGGGGCCCGTCCTGAGGCCGAGGCGCCTGACCGAGGCGATCCCCGCCTGACTGGGCAGTGCTCCCGGCTGCCTTGCTTGCGACGAGACAGGGCAGGTAAACGCGGCCGAGTGCAGAGCTCGCTTGGAGGCCACGCTGGACGTGGAGGACGTCGCGAAGGGCCTGGCGGCCCAGGCTGGGTCTGGAGCCGAGGCTCCTCCACCAGCAGGGGCACTGGCCAGGGGCAGGGGCCGGGCCGAGGCCGCGCAGCCAGCGGCCAGCGACGACCAATCACCCCCTGGACCAGCAGCTGCCGCAGCGTCAGCCGCGGCGCCAGCGCAGCCAGCTCGCGACGACGGAGCAGACGTTGCCGCGGCCGAAGCTGAGGAGGAGAACGCCGGGATGATGGGTCAGGGGCCCATCGAGATCGCTGCGAGGCCGAAGAGACAAGTCTCAAGGAAGGATGAGATCCCTGACTGCAAGAAGGCACGCGCTGTCGGAGGTGCGCCCGCGTGCGTCGCACCGCTCGCGGTCTGCGCAGTGGGCTCGGGCGAGCGTGCGTCCGAGCTCGTCAGCGAGAAGGACTTGGCGAACATCGCGGGGGCGCTGTCGTGGCAGCCACTGCCGGCAGACAGGGCGAAGGAAGGGCGCGCTTGGGGGCGTGCGAAGGTGAAGGGGCGCAACGTTTTCAAGAGGGCCTTCGCCCACGAAGCCACAGGGGAGCGCGTGCGAGGCAAGGGGGCCCGGGACTGGAAGGCAGGGGCGGGCGCCGCGAGGCCCGGGCTCGCGCCCATGCAGGTCGCGCACCAGGCGCGCGATGGCACGTTTGCAGGCTCGCCGCCCCTGAAATTCGCGAGGCTCGCGCTCTCGATGGCGGGCGCGCTCGGGCGCGGCCGGGGGGTCTAGCTGATTGGTCCCTGGGACATTTGGGCTGGGCAGCAGGCGTCGAGAGCACTGAGCAGCGGTGAAGCCGAGTACGTGGAGATGGTTAACGGATCGGCCCTGGATATCTTCACGAAGAACCTGCTCAAGGAGATGCAGATCGAGATGGTGGTGGCGGTGGCTGGCGACATCACGGCGGCGATCGAAATTTGCTCGAGGCTCGGCGTCGGTCGCACCAAGCACCTAGACGCGAGGCACCTGTGGCTTCAGGAGAAAGTGGCAAGCAATGGGGCGCGGGGTAAGAAGGCCCCGACGAGCGAGAACGTGGTGGATCTCATGACAGGCGCTGGGTCCTCCACGACACCACGAGTTGGTGAGGAGCGCCTGTTATCCTGCAGTCTGCGGGGGGCTCAGCTGGGCAAGCCGGCGATTCACGACGGCCACGGTGGAGCGAGATGGAGGCGAAACAGTGCGCCATTGCTTCAATGGTGCAGTGTGCAGATGATGTGTACGTGCCTGGCCTGGAGTCAGACGCTGAGTGTACCGCGTGCATTGCGAAGCCGAGCGATACGCCGCGCAGCGTGGAGCCGTGATGAACCAGCAAGAATACCCGCCAGGCAAAGCCCTCTGGACGGGACGCCGTCCACAGCGTGTATGTGGTGGAGAAGGAGTAGCAGTAAACGCGAGGGGTGCAGACGAGCGCGGCAGAGCCTGCCGCTCTCGAGGAGGAGTGCGAGACATCTTCGCGCCCTCGTAGCAAACGTGAACAGAACAACATTTATGTTGATCGTAGCACTTCGCAGGCTCGGGAGCAAAAGGGTACCGCATCTAATATTTGGAGCTTTCGCTCGCTGCCGCCCTTTTGGGGCACTCGGACTGTAGAGCGCTCTTGCGCCGTCCCGGGGCCCTCTCGGCCCGTCTTGGAGGCTTCTTGCCTCTCCGACAACCCGGGATGCACTGGTGACTTCTCGGCCCCCTCGCCCTGTCAAGAGCAATTTTGGACGGGAGGGAGAACATGGGAGCGGATTAGCAATTATCTCGCATGCCTTTCCAGGCCTTCAGAGGAGGAAGGCGAGGAGAAGGAGGAGGGGGAGGAGGAGGAGGAGGAGGAGGAGGAGGAGGAGGAGGAGGAGGAGGAAGAGGAGGAGGAGGAGGAGGAGGAGGAGGAGGAGGAGGCACGCGGTTCACGCTATCTCCGCTGCTCTGCGTTCGCCGCCCCTTTGCGCCGCTCCCAGGGTGGCATCCAGGCGGAGGCCGACACGCTGGGACCGGACAGGGACATGACGCCATACCCCGACGAGCTGGATGAGGCGTGGGGGAGGAGGCAAGAGGGAAAAGGCTGGGGGCAAGATAGGCGGGGAGTATGATGATGATGGTGATGGTAATGATGATGTTGATGATGACGAGTACGATGGTGGTGATGACATTATGGTGGTGATGGTGGTGCGGATGATGGTGTTGTTGATGATGATGATGATGATGATGATGATGATGATGATGATGATGATGATGATAATGATGATGATGATGATGATGATGATGATGATGTTGATGATGATGATGATGGTGATGATGATGATGATGATGATGATGATGATGTTGAGTGGGATACTGATGGTGATGAGTGTGATGATGATGCCGATGGTGATGCCAGTGGTGATGGTGATGGTGAGGGTGATGGTGATGGTGATGCTGAGCATGACGACGACACTGATGATGCTGATAATGATGTTGAGGATGATGGTGGTGGTGGCGATGATGTTGAGGAGTCCGTGGAAATTTGAATCAAACCCGTTTCTCTTGGACACATGGTTTGACCTCATTGGTGCGGGGGAGTTGACGGCCCCAAACGTCACGCCTCGTCGCTTGGTCGGGCGAAGCTCTTTGCTTTCCCTGGCGTTCGCCCGCCAGGATATTCTCACGACTGCCAGCTTCAGGCTTCGGCAACCTCCCTGGCTCAAGCGATGGGGGGCTGGGGATGCAGGGCATGTAATGCATGGGAGAGAGGCCCCAAGGCTCAGTGCTTCAACTGCGGAGGCTACAGCCCAGGTCATGGCCAGAAGCCAGCCGAGGGGCAAAGGCGACCTCAACGCGGGGTGTGGGCAGGACGGCCAGGGGCGGCCCGTCTGCTTCTTGGCCCATTGGGAGAACGACCGCCCGAGGCCCCGCGAGGAGGAGTGCAGCGCCAACAACCGAAGAACAACATCGTACACCAGCTCGGTGAGAAACGGACGGAGACCTGGATCAGCAAGGCAGAGGACCAGTACGAGATCGTCTCTGGCGCTCTGTTGCGGAGACAGCGGAAGGCGATGGCCTTCCGACGAGGGCTGCGCGCGGCGGGAGCGGGCGATCCAAAGCTCAAGAAGGACCTGCCCCAGGCGGTGGCGAGAGCACAGCGCAGTGTGCTCCAGGCCACCCAGCGAGCAGACAACGCGCAAGCAGCAGCGCGGGAGGCCGCCGTGGAGGTGGTGGAGTCCCGGCAGTTGCTGCTGCAACAGGCGAAGGAGGAGCTCGAGCAGGCCAAGCGCGAGGCTGCGATGAACATCGGCAGCAACCAGCCACCGACGGGAGAGCTCTCCCCCGGGCTCTCAGGGCATGCGGGCAATCTTGCAGAGCTCGTCAAGCAGCTCGCGACCGCCGCAGAAGGAGCCGCGGCAGCGGGCGAGGGACCAGACGTGACGGCCGCCAAGCAGCGGGCACCATTCAGGAGGCGCTCGCACGGGTGGTTTCGCGGCCGAAGCTAGCTAGGGCTGCCGCTGGACTCGGCGTCGCTGCTCCTGCCACAGCTCCAACCACCAGTGGAGATCGAGGCAGCCAAGGAGGCGCCACCCATGGAGAACTCCCAGTGTGCATCTTTCCCGAACGACGAGGACACCAACCAGCGGATCAGAGAAATCAGGGCCGGATGGGATGCGGTCGCGTCAGAAGAGACCAGAGCCAATGCCATGGCGGGTTTCTTCGAAGCTGAGGCCGCGAAGCGGTTGCGGCGAACTGACTGGGTGGAAGTGGCATGGCAGAGTGCGCCCGCGCGACGCCCGTGCTCCCCGTGGCGCTCACTGGCAGGGCGTCGCCCCAGCAGGCCGCGGGCGGAGGCGCGGGCGCGTGGGGGCGCCAGCGAGGCGCGCACGGCAGCACGCCACTTCGGAGCGCCTCGGCCGCCGGCGCGCGGGCGGCCGAGACCCGAGGGCCTGGGGCCCTCGACGGAGGGGCGGCCGACGCCCCCGCGTCGGGTCGCGATGGCAGCCGCGCCGTTGCGGCCCCCGCGAGGCCCGCGAGCCCTGGGACACTCCTTGGCAGGCGGCCCCGGCAGAGTCCACGAGGCGGCGCCGGCACGGGAACGAGGGCGTCGATCTCGGCGACCAGCGGCGCGCACTTCCAGAGGCCCTCGGCCGCAGACGCGCGGGTGGCCGAAGCCCGAGGCACTGGGGCCCGGCTTGGTGGGGCCCTCGACGGAGGGGCGGCCGATGCCCCCGCGTCGGGTCGCGGCGGCAGCGGCGCCGCTGCGACCCGTGCGACGCCCGCGATGGAGGAAGGGGAGGAGGAAGAGGAGGAGGAGAAGGTGGAGGAGGAGTAGGAGGAGGTCGAGGAGGAAGAGTCCCTGAGGAAGAGGAGGAAGAGGAGGAGGAGGAGGGGGAGGACCAGTGCAAGGCCAAGGGTCACCAATGATGATCGAATGAACCCTCCCTACAAGCTCCCCCTTTCATAGGACCCTATCAGGGTTCATGTCCACTGAGTGACCTGCCTGGTTGGAAGGCAACCGATTGAAGACCGTGGAGCGTACCAACACATTGTTCCCGGGATCCCAACGCATCGGATCAATTTGTTTGTTGCGTCTTGGCGATCCCGATTCTTGCAAAAACGCACCATACTCGGGACTTAAACACCGCGAACCGTTGTAATTGCTGCAACCTCATAGCCCGAAATTCTTCCAGAACGCCAGTTCTGTCACGATGACCATGCTAATCTGTAATTACATAGAGTGGTAACCGTATATGATGTGTATATATGTTAAAAATATACAAGTTGTTATTATAACAAAAACGATGTTGCGCGGCCCTGAGGCGATAACCACGTTTGAAAAAGGAATCGCCCTCAATCCGTGAGACTCTTGCAACGTTTAAACATGAACGTGCGGGGAGCTGAGGCGAGAGCCGCATTTTGAAAACGGCCCGCCCTCAATCCGTGAAGTTCTTACATATGTTGAAAACGCATGAATGTGGCGCTAAGGCGAGAGCCACATTTTGAAAATGGCCCGCCCTCAATCCAAAAGCTCTTACATATCTTTTACAACGAGTGCGCGCGGCGCTAAGACGGGAGCCACATTTTGAAAACCACCCGCCCTCCGTCTGTGAAGCGGTTGTCAGCCTTTGAGCTTCAGGGTGATCAATGGTGAGGAAGTCTGAAGCGAAACGTCTGGCCCGCCCAAAAAACTGGCCTCGGGGTGCGGCAGGAAGAAGTTAATTATAAGGACAAGGAATGGAAAAGGAGAAGGAGGAGGCAGGCGGAAGGGGAGGAGGAGGAGAAGGAGGAGGAGGAGGATGAGAGCGGGGAAGGAAAGGGTGAGGAACAGGGCGGAGGAGGAGGAGGAGTGAAGAACACGAGGAGGAACATGAGGAGGGGGATGAGGTCAAGGAGGAGGAGGAGGAGGAGAAGAAACAGGAGGAACAGGAGGAACACGAGCAGGAAAAGGACGAGGATGAAAAGTAGGAAGAGGAGAACAAGGAGGAGGAAAAGGAGGAGGAGGAAATGGAGGAGGAGGGGGTGGATGATGATGATGATGATGATGATGATGATGATGATGATGATGATGATGATGATGATGATGATGATGATGATGATGATGATGGTGTTGATGATGATGATGATGATGATGAGGATGAGGATGATGATGCTGATTCTGATGATGATGATGATGATGATGATGAGGAGGAGGAGGAGGAGGAGGAGGAGGGAGGAGGTAGGAGGAGGAGGGCCTTCCTTTCCTTTCCCCCACCCTTTCCCTGGGAGGATGAAGAATGAGGAGGGCATTATTTTCCTCTCCTTTCCTCTCCTTTCCTCATCCTTCTCTCCCTTCCCCATCAGCCCGGCCGGAGTCCGGTGCCAGGGCGCTCTTCTGCACGTGAAGTCGTGCTGGCGCATCAGTGGCGACCCAGAGTACGTGCAGCTCATCAACGAGCCGCGCGCGCGGAGGAGGGAGGAGGGAGGGAGGGAGGGAAGGAGGTACGAGGGACGGGGGTGGAGGGAGGAGGGAGAAGCAGGGAAAAGTGTGTAATCATGAGTTCAAAAAGGTTTACTCTGGAGTAAACCTTGTTACACTTGTACCTGCAGTGCTTCACCATTGGAAAGGGTTTACTCCAGATTAAACCTCTCTACATCTGAAGTGCCCCTCTGGCGACCATGTCTTCTCTTCTCTATCTCCGCGGCGCATGCTCTTTTTACTTCCTGGGCCCCGTGCTTGAAGCATTCTCGCCCTGGGGCTGGCCATTTACTGAGGCGCAGTCGCTCCTTTCATTCGCCCTTCGTTTTTTTGTTATCGGGGGGTACTTTCTGAAGTTGCGCTGGCATCTCTGAAATCGACTCGTTTTCCAATGCAGTTGCGCAGTCTTTCACGTTATGGATGACGTTTCGTCAGGCTGCTCACGGGGGTGGGTCTTGTAATTTCAGTTCAGCCGCCCCCCTCTCGCCCTGCTGTCTGATTATTGAGCCACTCGGTTATTGAGCCGCCTCTCCTCGTTCTTCAGGCTTTCTTGCTCCGAAGGTTGTTCCGTTTGGGGCTGCTGGCTCTCAGGTTACGTCGGCTCCTTTTTTCAGATACGAGCGCTTTCTTGCTATGAATCCCTTCTTCCCTAGTTTTGCAATGTTTCTGGCTTTGGAGGCTTATTTTTCCAGCTCTGCTGGCCTGTTTGCTTTTCGAGGTGTTTTTTCGTTCTTGAGGCTTGCTGGTAGAGTGTGCGAGTTTCTCTTGCCCCGCAGGTTTTCTGGCTCAGGTCGCTCGTCACTCTAGCCCTGATCTAGGGCGATTGCTTCTCTCACGCTGCGGGCTTTCTTGTTTCGTCGGTTCCTCCTCTGGGGTCTGCAGGCGCTCTCAACAACACAAATGCAGTTTGCGCTCCCCTCCAAGAGGGGTTAACACCATAGTGAACATTTTAAACGGAATCTCCTGTCGGAGGGTTAATTTTGGAGTAAACACTTTTAACGGTATTTCCGGTCGGAGGGTTGTTTCTGTAGTGAACTTTTTTTGTGTGCAGTTGTTGCCACCGAGAGGTCAACATTGGCCCAAACGATTATGAGCTTGATTGTATGGATTCGCAGCGGCCCATGAGCCATCTAAGTCGGTTGGCAAGGCCGCTAAGAGGCCTTGAGAGTCTCCGAACAGGTGTTCTAGATGTCCGCAAGAGATTCCCAGGGTGCTCCCGACTGGTCCAAACTGATTCATGTCTTCGCTCCTTCGTCACTGAACTAGTCGATTGCTTCCTCCTGCCAAGGAGGCCCGAAGACGTTAGGAGAACGATGTTCAATAGGGGGAGTCGGAGAGGACAAATGGTGAGGATGACGATGATGCTGATGATGATGATGCTGATGATGATGATGATGATGATGATGATGATGATGATGATGGTCTTGATGCCGATGACGATGACAATGCCGACTGACCGCTCGAAGAGGAGCCTCCCCCGCGGTCGGGCAACCCGCACCCGTACCCATAGCCGGTCCTCCTCCCTCCGATCTCCTTCTGGGTATGGGTGTGCGTCGTTCGTTCGTCAGTACCAGCACGTTTCTATGCGTCCCACTGCTCCCGCTCGAGGGCGGGCCGGGGCCGCGGCGCTCCCCGCGCCCGAGCTGCCCCCCCCCCCGCCCACGCCCCAGGAGCTGCAGGAGCGGCAGCTCCAGGAGCGCGAGGCGGCAGGCGGGCTCCTTCCGCCGCAGCCAGCCAGCCGCCGTGCGCACTCTCCAGGGCGCCTGGGCCCTGATCCGCCGACAATCTGTACTGGGGCAGAGGGGGGGGTATGGGGGAGGGGGGTAGGCCTCTTAGCGGCACCCCTGAGGCGCTGGCCTTGTCTGTGGATGTGCCCGTGTGCGCGCTGCCATGGGGGTACAGTCCGGGTGCTGACGTAAGGGTCACTTTGGACTCGGGCTTGGGCTCAGTTTTTCGGGCCGTTCCTCTTAGACCTGGGTCGGGGGAATTATTCATGAAGCATGCTGACCGTAGTCAGAAAAAGCCCCTTTGTTCCTTATTCAACGTTCCTTCTGGTAGCACGATTACTGTAGCGGGGGTCTTGCACAGGTCGGGGGCCGGACTAGGTGCAGTAGTATTTTGAATAGTTTTCTATACATGAGTACAGTCATTTGCGGTTTGGGTTCGTTGGTTGCGCGTGGATGCAACCATGCTTTCTTTCAAGCGCAAGCGTTGATTCCTCGGGTAATAAATCGTACCCCCCAGCAATCTTTCGCCCACGAGTTCGCACAATAGTTCGCGCTAGCGAACTATTGCACCTCCTTCCTTCCCCCCACTGGCAATGTCCCCGTCGCTCCAGTATAAAGAACAGATGTGCCCGAGATCTTGGCGTTGTATTGTTTTGCACAGCGGGCGTTTTCTCCCCGCTTCGGGCCGCGGGAGCCACACAGATCGCTCCAGCTCGAAAAACGGCGCAGAAAGATTGGGTCTGGGGCTGCGGTGAGTGTTTGGCAATGTTGCCATTGTTGTTGCAACTTCAGATCTGAGGTGCGACCGAACGGTAAGGCTTCGGGTTGCGCGCAGACAAGAAGCCCCCCAGGTAGTCCTCGCAGGCTTCAACAGGCCTCCCGAGCAGTCCAAGCTGGCCTCAACAGGCCCCCCGAGTAGTTGGAGGAGGTGTCAACACCATGGCGCCGCCTTCGACGGCGCCCCTGGGGCGCCCCGCGCCCCAGGGTTGGGGTGTGGAGACCGCCCGAGGCTACTCGGGGGGCCTGTTGAGGCCAGCTGGGACTACTCGGGGGCCTCTGGAGGCGAGCCTAGGCTACCTATGCGGAATGACTGGGCGCAGCCCGAGTCATTACCGTAAGTGACCGAACAACTGGTGATCGAGAACGTGCCCGAAAGCGTGACGGAAAGCGCAGTGGGAGCGCAGCTGTGGCTAGCATAAAAACCGCTGTGGTTTCGAGACGAGGGATTCGATGCTACAGGGGATGTGGTCGGAAGCTTTGGCTTGGCGTGTGGCGCCGCCAGTTCTGGCCCACCTTGCTTCGTCGCCACGTGCTTTCCATGCTCTGGCCCACGAGCGTCCACGTACCGAGCTTTTCCCAGCCTCCCGCTCCGCGAGGCGGACCGACACGCGATCTGCTCGCAGGGCTCAGCGTGTTGCCGGGTCTGCACACACGTTTTGCACAGCGACTTCCGGGGTCCCATCACCGTGTGGTGACGAACCGCGCGGTGACTTGGAACCCCCAAGAGTTTGTCCGCGCGGTCCGTCACCGCACGGTCTTGGGACCTCAACTGTGCGGTGACTCCGAATCCGCACCGACTCACCACGCGGTGTGGTCATCACACCGTTTGGGGCCCCGCGGGAGTTCAAGAAAAACATGTTGGGGAGACGAGTTCTTCTACCCAAGGGCTGGACTGGGTACATCTCTGGGCTCCCTGCCGTCCTGGGCCGCCGCCGCCGCACATACACGCTTTACACGGCGAGCTCAAGAGGAATCGTGCCACAGGGGACATGGGAGGAGGAATGCGTAGCCCCATTGGGTGGACGAGTCCTTTTACCCGAGGGCTGGACTGGGCACATCTGGGCTTCCCGCCGCCCGGGCTCCCCGATGCACATGCGCTCTGCACAGCGAGCTCGAGAGGACAAGTGTTGCAAGAAAAACGGTGACTGGAAGGTGTAGCCCCCGTGGAGACAGTTGATTTAATCTCCTGGTGATAGCGGGCTTGACCAGGAGAGGGAGGGGGGGAGGGGGCCAGTCATGTCACGATCCGCGTCGGCGCCGTTTTGAAATGCTCAGGGCTTGAGCATGGCTAATTCCCATGGCGCTGGCGCGAATCGTGACGTGACCAGGTGGGCGGAGGGGTGGGGGGCGGTCACAGGCGTTATTGCCAACAGTTAGCATAATGAGCTCTTGAGGGGACGAGTGAGGTCCTCTTGGCTTCGATTCAGATCTCAGGGGAGAGTACGTTGCATCGTCGGGGAACCTCATCTGTGCCCAACAGTTGTACCTTTTCTTGTGCCCGACGCGGGCTCGATGCGGACTCGAAGCAGATTTGGCGTGGATTCGTTCGACGCGGATTCGTTAAGGATTCGACGCGGACTCGACGAGTCCGACATGGATTCGACACGGATTCGACGCGGGTAGGGGCGCCGCGCGATAGAGAAGTTCCCCTTGATTGCGCAACATTCGTGAAGAATGTGTGCTGATACCGATTTACTCTTTCGTGAGAGGCCCTCGTCGCTACGGCTGGGTTCGCCGCATAATCCTGGTCAGAGCGCACCCCAACTGGTTTCGGGATCGGCATCTCTATGTTGCTTCAATGCCCCCCCTCTTCCTCGCGCTCCATCGTGGCCATCGTCGTGGTCGTCGTCCTCGTCCTCCTCCTGCTCCTCCTCCTCCCTGCCCGCGCCACCGCACCGGGGTCGACGATCGAAGGGCGAGGCTTCTGGGTGTTGTTCGTTCTTGTGGGGCCTCCGCGGGTCTCCTGGTGGCCATGGCCAGATTCGCCCTGAAGTTCTTGCCAGGACTGCTCCAGGGAGAGGTGTGGGGGTCGATTTCCGCCCTGGACCCAGACGTCCAACGTCTAGGACAAAGGGGCGGCGTTTGATGTTGTTCCCTACCTAGGCTCTGCCTAGAAGGGTTCTCACTCTCTAGCTTAAAGGGGCCGGGCAATGGAAACCGCCCCGGGCGGTTCCCCCAGTCCCCGCCCCGCGGTTCCCCCAGTTGCGCCCCCTGGGTTCCCCTAGCTTAGCTTAGCTTAGCTTAGCTCAGCTCAGCTTAGCTTAGCTTAGCTTAGCTTAACTTACCCTGAGCTTAGCTTAGCTTAGCTTAGCTTAGCTTAGCATAGCATAGCTTATCTCATCTTAGCTTAGCTTAGTCTAGCCTAGCTTAGCTTAGCTTAGCTTACCTTACCTTAGCTGACCTTAGCTTAGCTTCGTCCAGTTTATCTTAGCTAAACTTTGCTTATCTCATATCAGCTTAGTTTAGCTAAGCTTAGCTTATTTTAGCTTAGCTTAGTTTAGCTTAGCCTAGCCTAGCTTAGCTTAGCTTAGCTTAGCGTAGCTTGGCTTAGCCTAGCTTAACTTAGCTTAGCTTATCGCATAGTAGCTTAGCTTAGCTTAGCTTACCGCAGTTTAGCCTAGCTTAGCCTAGCTTAGCTTAGCTTAGCTTAGCCTAGCCAAGCTTAGCTTAGCTTAGCTTATCTCAGCTTGGCTTAGCTTAGCTTAGCCCAGCTTAGCTTAGCTTAGCTTAGCCTATGCTGTTTTCCTAGGGGGCTCCAACTCCTAGGCAGGGTCGCGCTGGGGTAATCGTCGTGCTCGGCCTCCGGAGGCCAGTTTTGGTACCAGCAGACCGCCACGAAACGGCTCAGGATGAGACGCCAGCCACGAGGTCCTGGGCGGGTCGTCTGGGGACCCTCTGCTGAACAAATCAAGACATCGGATCACTGGGGCCGCCGCCACCGTCGTCGTCGCCGCCGTCGCAGTCGTTGCCGCCGTCGTCGTCGTCGTCGTCGTCGTCGTCGTCGTCGGAGTCTTGGCTGGGGTCGACGTCGTGTCTTCGTGATTCGTCGTAGGACGTTGAAGATCGGGATTTGAGATGTTTGGATAGTTGGGTCCTGTGTCTCCAGAGGCCTTCCGTTTCGAAGCTCAAAGCGGAGCGCATCCCTGGAGTGGTGCGGGGGTTGTTCCAGCTCCTCCCGCTCCTCCCTCCTGCAGACTTCCGCAGCCGCAGGGGGTCGTCGCACAGCTCCCCTCCGTCGACGCTACGGGCGTTCAGCGAAACTGGATGGTCCAGCGTGCTTCGGTGGACTAGATGATGCACACCTATTGCGCTCCGCGCGAAGCCTCCAGGATTTTCCCTTTTCAGGAGCGGGAAAGAAGACGTGTACGTACATGCATTTTCATGTTTTAGGAGAATCGCACCCCAGGAGCATGCGTTGCATGTGGACGACATCGTGTAGCAGTGTCGAAGTTTTTGCTGCCGTATTGCAGTCAGGACAACGCAATGCACACTTTTCCGATCATCGTTCCTCTGCACTGTATGGCCCGCACGCGGGGACCTTACCCATGCTCGTACTTCGGCACGCACGTGATTGTTGCGGCTCCCTATGGCTGCGGGACAAAATGCCCCCATGGCTTGTACATCGCATGGTGGAGTCCCCTTTCCCTCCGTAGGGAAGCTGGCAATGCTCATCATCGCTGCGTTGGCTCGTGGGAAAAAACAACTCCCCCCATCAGAAATGTACTTATCGGGTTGAGAGGATGGGGTTTGGGATAAATTATTCGATCGTCTATATTGTCACGTATGATGGAGGTTCTCATTACGTAGTCGTGCCATGTGTCTTTCGAACTCCTTTCACGCAACCCGATAATTGTCGTTCTCTCGCATGGTGGAGTCCCCTCTCCTAAGTGGAGACAGTGGCAATGTTCATCCTCACTGATTTGGTTCGCTAAAAAGACTCCGGATGTGCTGATCACACAGTCGTGCCTAGCATCTTGCCAACCCCTTCCTCTCAACACGATGCCTGTCGTTCTCTCGCATCGTGGTGTCCCATATCCCTCAGTGGAGGAGCTGGCAATGTTCACCATCATTGCATACGTTCGTGGAACACACTCCAGATGCGCTTATCACACAGTCGTGCCTGCTGTGTCTTCCCAATCCCGTCCTCCTAACACGAAACGGTACGTTCATGCGGCGTTGGCGCGCTGGCGACGCCGGCGAGGGCCTTCAAGGTTGAATTCGGCGACGCGGAAGGGGCACGGTCATGCCAATGGACTCGGCGGAATTCAGCCTTGAGCGATCGGGGCCGCGATCGATTCAAGGAGAAACGGTCGACGCGGTGTCAAAAAATCTTTGCTCGCGCCAGCGCCGCACGAATTTGCCGTAATTGTCCTTCTCCTCCCATCGGGTATAGCCAGGACCCTGGTCATTGGAAGCGGGTTAGTCATTTGGCCCCGAAGCCCAAAACTTGGACTTGAGTCTTTGAACCAGGTCTGCCGTAGCTGGTGTTCTTCTTGTGACGGCGGTTCCGGTCTGTGCAATGGAGCGGGGGGGGGGCGTCCCCCTGGTACACATCACCTACCCAGGTCCCACTCAACAGAGTCCCGCCTATGCCCCATCCCAGCCCCCAGCAGTCCGTCCCGGCTCGGGCCGCGCGCCCGGCGCTCGGGGCTCGCGCGCGCGCGCCACCTGTCGCGGCGGTTGCGCGGCGGCGAGGCGGCCAGCGGCGACTACGCAGCGGCCGCCAGCGGGACCGCCGGTGGGCCTCGGCCGCGCGTTGCCCCACGCGGTCGGTGGCCGACCCGCGGAGCGAGCGCTGGCTCAGAAGAGGAGAAGTACCAATACCGCTAATCACCACCCGACCCGAAAGCCCAAAATCGCCCTCCATGCCCAGTGGGGGGGGCGTCGGGGAACATTGAGAAGACACAGCCCGTAGCCCCCCCTTACCCGAAATATGGGTCTTCAGGTTGGGTTGGGGTGGTCTGGTATGTAGTCATTCGGCTACAGTCGAAACTGATGATAAGGATGGGTAGCCTTCCCAAGGGTAATTACCCTTGTGTCCTTGCCTTTTCGGTCCAGCCTGAACCACTCTCGATGGCCAGCCCCGCTCGAAAAAGTGTCGGCATGGCCTTCCAAGCCCTTGCGTCCTTATCGGGCATCCTTACTATCAGTTTGACTGTACCCTCGCTTCGGGTCTGCCATTTTGGACCTCCTGGGAGGTCCTCGTCGACACTGTTGGATTGGCATGGGAATCCTGGTCAGAACGCACCCTGGGAGAGGTCCTGGGAGCAGCGGTACTGGTACCTTTTTGTCTCCCCACGCTGGCGATGGCGCCGGCGGGCCTGCGCCAGGACCGCCGCACTGAGGAATTGCAGCCAGAGAGGGCGTGGAGTGTAGAGTGGAGGATGTCTCGGCACACGGCTGCAGTTTTCGCGGGTGCACCAGGGAGGCCTGGTCTGTCAAAGTCTCAGCTTGCGGCGCCCCGAAGGCGGCCAACGTTTGCAGGAAGTTCAAGCTCGGCTCGTGCGAGAAGGGCGCGGATTGCCCGCTGAGTCACGCGATTGAGTACGACGGCGCTGGGTTCAGCTGCGAGCAGTCCGCGCCCAGCGAGCTGTCCCAGGCTCGAGCACGGTCGCAGGCGGTCGTCACGAGGGAAATCCACCTCCAGAGTATATCCACTCCCTGACCTTCCAACCGTCCGCACCTTCGGAAGGTGCTGGCTGACGGGGATGAATTATCTGAGCGAGCTTCATGAGGTGTCCAAGGTTTCCATTGGATTCTCTGTTTTTTCTTTAGAGTGTAGAGTTTTCATGAGTTGCTGTAGGTTTCTGTGTAAGTTATTATTATCGCTTGCTGGGATCTCGAGGGGTGGTCCATCGGCGAGCGAGGGAGGGAAGTGAGAAGGAGAAGTCCTTCTCAGAAGGCGGTGGGTTTTCACAAACCCGCCAGCCTATGAGAAGCTGTGTCTTCGGGCCAGGTTTCGGACACTTCTCAGAAGGCCGGGGGACGTCCGAGCCTTCTGAGAAGGCCTTCTCCTTCTCGCTTCCCCCCATCGCTCGCTGCTGGTGGGCATGGGCATCCTGGGCGGCCAGGTATCCGTGTCCGCCACTCCAGGGATGCGCTCCGAGGGAGGCAGGCCTCTTATTTTTGCAATCGGCTACAGAGTTGATTCACCCCAATCATGTGCTCGTCCAATCTACGAACAGTGCTTCGGATGCTCGTAGATCTATTGCACCTTCATGCGTTTTGGTCTCCTGAGCCGCTTCCTGATCGGCGGGACCATCGGGAATGGACCCGGGACGAAAGCCCCGGGGAAGTCGTCGAGACATCCCAGGGCCCGCCTCGCAGATTAGGAACACCAGCCCGTCGGAGATCGAGAAGGGGTCCTGAGTTGTTTCACCGTTCTCTCGGCGGCACGCCCAGGAGAAAGGGCGAGGGGCCAGCCTTCTCAGAGGGCGAGGGGCCTCCTTCGAAGCCTTCCCGCCCTCTGAGAAGGTCCCCGCCGCCTTGTGAGAAGGCACGCCCCCTCGCACTGCCCCCTCGGCCGCGCCGCCAATGTCGGCCTCCCGAAGCTCTCTCCGAGCCCCAGGGACGTAACCAGACACCGGAGACGACGAGCCAGGCGCGGGGGAAGCCCTGGCCGCGGTTCGGAGCCCGTTTGCCTCAGCCAGGCAGGTTTAGGATAGGTTGACATCTCCATGCTCTAGGCCCGCCAGCTCTCTGTGATTCCGAGCTGATTGTGTATGGTTTTGTCCTTGCTGTGCTTCTGTGCTGCCCAGAAACCCGACGTCGCAATGTCCTACAGCATGGATCCCCCGGAGGTCTCGGCCTTCTCCCTGGTCCTGGCTTGTGTTTTAGGTTACCCCCCCCAGAGGATTGCAACAAAAACCCTTTTGCAAAGGATTGCAAACAAAAACCCTTTTGCAAAGGGTTTGTTTGCAATCCTGGGTTTTTTTGCAATCCTTCGGGTGTTTTTTGAAACCGCTCCCCCTCCGTATCCGCGACTTGTTCACGCGACGCGGGGGGGTCTAGGATCGGGAGTGGAACGTCCGCCCCGAGACCTCTCCGGGGTTGCTCTCGGACCAGCACCTCGCGGGGGATCCAGCCGTGACGGCGGGAGCGCCCCCGGGTGGCCCGCGCAGGGCGAGCGAGGACCCCAACACCTGGAGCCCCGAAGCCCGTCGAACCTCGAAGGGGATGGGCCTGGGTTGGACTCGCCTCGGTGCCCGAGGCGAGCGGCGACGGGGAGGGCAAAAGCGCTGAACAGGCCAGGAACTTCGAAGCTCGACCTTCGGAGCCAGGGCCTCGAGGGTCGAGCCTCGAGCCGAGGAGCCTCGGGCCTCGGGCTCCTTTCAGCTCAAAGAGTGGCAGGGAAGCGAAGGAATACACATGAGCAACAACCGGAATCTGCCGTACTTTTTCCCCCGCCCCGTGTTATTGCTTTTGTTCTGCCGTCTTGGATGCGCATTCACCACCCCACGTGCAGTGAACAGCACCTGAGTCTTGATGCCCCGAGGCGAGCGGGGGCGCCTTCCTCCTCCTCCTCCTCCTCCTCCTCCTCCTCCTCCTCCTCCTCCCCCTCCTCCCCCTCCTCCCCCTTTCTTCTCCTCCTCCATTCCCTCGGTTTTCTCTCTCCCCTACTCCCCGCTTGTCCCTTCCGCCCTGCCCGTTCGCCTGCTTCGGACAGTTGCGACGACGTATTCGGTCGGGTCGAAGCCCGAGCCCCGAAACCGCGGCGCAGGGTCGGTATGCCGTCTCGCGTCAGACCCGTTTCTTTTCGTCGCCCATTGGCCTCCCAAACGGGGTCGGAGTTGATGAGGTCGGAGGATGGCGCCGCATCGCCGATGCATCGGCGGTGCGGGTCGATGTGTAGTTCGTTTTTCTCCACGCCTACGGCGCCGATGCATCGCTGACGTCGCGGATGCATCTCCGATGCATCAGCGATTTGGCGCGATCTTCCGACCCCATCTGCTCGGACACGCTCCTCGTCAATTTTTTCGGCCGTAGCTCAGCTCTCCGGAGGCCGTTCGGGACGATCCAGGCAACCCCAGACCACCCGCGGCGAGACGCAGCCGTTGGAAGACTTCCAGAGACAGGGCAACACGACGAAAGAGTTTGAGAATCCCAAACCAGTGCGTTCGATGGCAAACCATGGGAGTTTTGCATGTTCTCGTACTTCCGTCTTTAGAGTATATTCGCGTTCGCTAGCGTCTGGTGATCGATGAGAAAGCGCCGATGCAACGTCGATGAGCGTCGATGTGGCGTCGTTGAGCGCCGATGTAGCGTCGACTTGTGTCGATTGGCGTCGACCCGCAGGAGCCAACAGGAATGTGTGGGAGGCTCCCGGGAGTTGCCGCAGGAACTTGTCAGCGCCCGGGCCCCGAAGTGCCCCGAGGCGAGCGGGGACGACAGGAGCGGGGCCACGAGGGGGGTAATGTGTAGGGTGGGTGAGTATAATGGCCGAGTCGTGACACTTCGGTAGCAAATCATGGGAGCCTTGCATACCCTCGCCATCACTAGCGTTGATTAGCGTCTGTTGATCGATGAGAGAGCGCCGACTGAGCATCGATTAGCGTCGATTTAGCGTCGGTTAGCGTCGACTCGCGGCGATCAGCGCTGATTCGCAAGAGCGAGCAAGTTCGTGTGGCAGGCTCCCATAGGTTACCATCCAATGATAGTACCTTCTAATTTTCATGGCGCCTCTTCTTATTTGGTGGTTCACAGATGGGGTCCTGAGGGATGGGGTCCCAAGGACAGGCAGGGATCCAATGGTGAGTTTACAGTGTTTGAGGCACCTCGTCCTATGGACCCCATCCCTCAGGACCCCGTCTCTGAGCCCCCGAGTTGCATCAAATCGGTCCTTGGCCGCCCCCGGGCAGCCATGTGCCTCGGGCCATGGTTTGCGAACCCCCCTCTTGGACGCCTCCCCTCTTTTCACCGCTCGGGCGTGTACATTTTTCTCGGCAAGGTCAGCGCCAGAAATTCTGGGTCATCCATGGGGGATCTTGGACCATCCTGGCGAACACAAACACGCACGAGATCGAACCACGCGCGGGGAAAGGACGCCGCGCAGACCGTCGAAAGTTTGCCTATGCTGCCTTTACCTCCTCTAGAGAGTCGTCGAAAGAGTCCGAACACCTAATATCAGCAACGCGCAGAGGGCGTGGGGGGTCGGGGGAGGGCTTGTTATGAAGTGCCCCTGTTTCTTAGAAGTCGCGGCCTTGTCTGTAGATGGAGGGCCGGCGCCCTCTAAGAAGCAGCCTCCTGTCAAGAAGCGTTCCACACTCCACCTGCCCTGTGCGCGCCGTCAGTCAGAATCAAGCCCGCACTGGGAATGGACGCCGCGCGGAGCGTCGACAGTTTATGCTCATGCCGGCTTTTTCCATCTCTAGAGAGTCGCCGAAAGAGTTCGAACGCGGCCACGCTCAGAGGGGGTGGGGGGGAAGGGGAGAGGGATTCTCAGAAGCACCATTGCCTCCCAGAATGCGATGGCCTTCTCTGCAGATGTCAGGCTGGCGCCTTCTGAGCAGCAGCCTCTCTCCAAGAAGCCCTTCCCCTCCCCCTGCCCCCTTGTGCGCGCCGCCACTCAAGCCCCAGCTCGGCTCTCTGGCGACCGGTCGGAACGATGTCGGCACCCCCAGAACGCCCGCGGCCGGGCGCAGCCGCTGGAAGGCATCCAGAGGCTGGGAAGCCTGGCCGCAGGGGTTCGAGAACCTCAAACCGGCGAGCAGCGCCCGAGCCCGGGAGTGCCCCCCCGAGGCGAGCGGGGACGCCGCCAGCGACGCGAGCTCCCTGAGCTGGACCTCGAGCTCGGACAGCCGCAGCTGGCCCTCCGAGCAGCTCTGGGGCGGCCTCTCGAGGAGCGGCCCCCCCGGGGCCTCCAGCGGGTGGCGCTCCGTGCTGTGCTGCCGACCCCTGCAGTCCAAGCCGATGGCAGGGGTGGACAACCTTTCGGTAGGTTTGCGTCGTGTCGACCAGCGGCGACCCCAGCGCGGGCGTTCAAGGTTGAACGCCGCCGGCGACCCAGAATCGATCGATGTTGAACAATTGGACGTTGCGGAGGCGGCCGATCGTTCAAGGTTGAACGATCCCTGCGGTGTCAAAAACCAACGCTGGGGTCGGCACGACACGAACCCGCCGTACCAGGGGGGGAGCCCCTGCATCCTCGCCTCTCCAGTCCATCCGTCAACTCTTTCGATGGCCCGCCCCGCTCGAGGAGAGCTCTTCCACACGGGCGTCCAAGGGGCTCGCGTCTTTCTCGCGCACCCTGACTACACCCTAGGCGATGCTTAAGAAAACCTAAGTTTTCGTCCAGAGTCTCGATTATTCTCAAGTTTTCGATGTAAATCCCACGATGTTGACAGAAATGTTGGGTTTTTATTCAAGTTCTGAGACTATGCATTTCTTATCCCATGATCTCTTAAGCATTTCGCAGGGTGTACCAGTTCTGACTGTATGGTGTAACTACCCCCTATCCCCACCCAGGGCTCGTTTCGATTTCTCCGATTCGATTCGATTCCGATGGATTCCGATTCCGATTCGGTTCGGCTCGGGATCCCGATTCGGATTCCGAATTCCCAATGGAGGGCTACTAGCCTGCCAATTGCTGCCGACTCGAATTATTTCGATCGGACCCGATTTACCGATTCGATTCTGGGCCCTCCTGCCATCTCACCAGGGCGGGAGTGAGGGAGGGAGCGAGGATGTGGAGGGTCGAGCTTTTGGGCGCCCTCTGGGCCTCCGGGCGCCTCCGCGTGGCCCTCTGGAGGGCTCCGCGGGGAGATCCCCCTCAGACATCCGGGGATGGGGACAGCCGGAGGCATGCGGCGCGGTCGGGGCGCGGCGGGGACACGAGTGGGCTGGAAGGGGCCGCATCCCCACCCGGACCCCCACCAGCTCACTGCCTCAGTTGGGGATGTACCCCTCGGAGCCCGACGGAAACAGCCTGTCATCCCACCTAGGGGGCAGAACGGCCAGTGGGGCCCAGGCCACTGCCATAGGGATGGGGTTTGCTCAAACGTTGCTCAGGCGAGGCGCTCTGGCTCGCCCGTAGGCCCACCAGAGAATGCCCTGCAGTGGGGACGCGCCTCAGGAAGCCGGATGAGCGACGCAGAAAAGCGAGGGCGTCTTCGCCCACATTGGCGCGTAAGCTGCCCGCGCAAGGTCGAGCGTAAGCGCCCTCGTCTCCAGTGTGGCGTGCCGCGCTGGCGGCCCGCGTAAGCCGCCGCGTAAGATGACCATGCCATCTCGCGTACGACACGTTTGTTTTCGTTGCTCAGATGTTGTGTTTTTGTTCCCAGCCCGCAGGCCCGTCGAACTCTGGACGAAAGGATGAAGATGGATGGTCAAAATCTGGACGAAATCCAGTCGACCTCACGTTTATGATAGGGCCGTGGAGGTCCACAGAGGCTCCCATGAAGGCTCACCCACAATGATGTTCTGCAGTAGGGACGCGCAACAAGAAACCAGATGCTCTTTGTCAGGGTACCTTCGCTCCGCGCGCTGCGCGGTGTTTTTTCCGCGGCCGTTGGAGAAGCCGCTGTGCTCCGGGTGCTGTTGCCCCCCCCCCGCCCGGTGTGCATCTCGCGAGCGGGTCCCTGCTCAGTAGGCCGCGCGGGGGCCGCGGCCTCTCTGGCGGCCCTCGGCGGTCCTCGAGGACCTCGAGGATCTTGAGGATCTCGAGGACCTCGAGGTTCGAGCTTCAAAGTTCGAGCTTGGAAGTTCGAACATGGAGCCGGCTGGAGGTCTGAGGTGGCCCGGTCCTGTTTTCGGCCAGCAGGAAGGGGGGTGCGAGGTTCGAGGTTCCGAGGTCCGAGGTTCGAGGTTTGTTGGTGCCTTTCTCGGTCTCCGGGGGGGCTCCGGACCGTCAAAACCGCATCCGGCGTGAAAAACTGCACCAGGTGGACTCCAGGAGGGGCCCGGGGACCGATCTTGACCTTCGAGGCTCGCTTCTCCTGGGGCCACCCACAGGGGTGCGAAGTGAGTCGCGCTTCGTGCTCCGCGGTCTGGGCGATTTCAGGACGAGGCGCGAGTCCCTCGTCCTGCTCCGTGGTCGGCGGGCGGCGCAGAGGCGCGACGAAGACCGCGCCCCGCGGAGCGCGCGAGGCGCGAGGATGGCTGCCCTGGCTCCCCTCGCTCTCTCTGGGCCTCCTGGGGCGAGCGAGCGAGCGGGTGAGCGGGCGGCCTGCCGTCCGTTCCCTGCCGGGAGCGGTCCCCTGCTGGCCGTCGGCGACCTCCGCGGCGGCCGTCCGAGCGCGCGCGCCCTCGCCCTGGGCCTGCTCGGCCCTCGAGCCTTCGGCGAGGCAGCGTGGCCTCGGCGGCCCTCTGGAGACCCTCGGCGGCCCTCGGCGCTCAAGCTTCGAGCCTTCGGCGAAGCAGTACTAGAGCAGGGGGGTCGACCACAGAGCCGATTTACCCCAAACTTGATCTCCCCGCAGAGCCGAGAACAAGTGCACCGAATGCTGAGCAGATTTAGATCGACGCAGCACTCGACGCATGTTCCGCTGGGTCGACGGACAGTCATTTTTGGGGTAACGAAATGTTGCAGTCGATCACTATTCGAAGCATGGCAGCGGCTTTAGCTGAGCGCCGAGCGGACTCCCGAAGAGGTCCAGGTGCCGATATTGCCCCGAACCCACCTCCCTCGGGGTCGTGACAAAAATCAGGAGGACGGAATGTTTCGTCCGGTTTCGACTCCCCCCGGTGGGCCGTCGGGAGTCCACTCGGTACGATCGAAATGGGTACGGAAAGAATGGGTACGAAGATTGACAGCAGGTCCTGTCCATTTTGGACAGGGTTAGTTGTCCGTGCTGTCGCGGGCGTTGTCCTGTTGAGACAGAAGGCCGCCTGCCCAAGGGCGGCCGCTGTCGGTTTTGGACAACACTTGCTTGTGAGCATTGTGCCAATGTTGCCGTACGCCCATTAACTAGAAATCTTCATAAAAGACAAGTTGCAATTTTCACGTTCGTTTAATAAGAAACTCAGGAATCTGAACTGGACCCTTGGCGCGTTCTTGGAGCTTTTTCTTTCGGGGGAACTTTCGTATATCTGGGCCAGGACTACTCTTTAAAACACCGCCTGGCGTGAAGTCCAACTTTCGGGGGCCGATGTATGGCCACCGCCCCGACCAACGTACCTTGTGCCAAACCAGCTTGTTTGTCGGGGTGGTGCCAGGGGATTTGCCATTTTTGCACACAGCCCCCGTTCTACGGTCTTGTGCCGGAACAGCTCGTTCATAAGGGTCGTCTAAAACATCGAGTCCCCAACCTTCTTGGCGCAAAGAATTCTTAACTCTGAGCAGGGGTGTAGCTCATAGAAGCACGACGCCAGGCGAGCCTCGTCGGCCCTCGGGCGGCCTCCGGCGGCCTTGTGGCCCTCGGCGGCGATGTTCGGCGCCCTCCGCCGAGGATCTGGGCCCGCGCCCTGGCCCAGGGTGCCCCCAGGATTCTCACAGAGGCCCCCACGGCCCGCAGAGCACCCCCTCCGAGGGCCCCAGGGGCTTTCAAATTTGGGGGAAAAGGGGGCACCCTGGGTTGGGGGCACCTTCAGCAACCCCCGCCCTCTGCCGAGGATCTGGACCAGCGCCCCGGCCGCAACGGAGCTCCCAGCCTTCTGCAACCGCCTCGTGAACATCTCGGCGTGGAGAGGAGGGGGTTCAGAGGAGGAAGAGGTACCCATGCCGCTGCCCTTCTCTCGTTTTCTCTTTTGTGGGCATCCTCGAAGACCCTCGTCGACACCGCTGGATTCGCCTCGAAATTCTGCAGAGCGCACCCCGTGAGAGATCGGGGGAGTAGCGGTATCGGTATCCTTCAGTTTCCCCAGGGCTCTTTGAGTCGTGTCGGACGAAAGGGGGGGTGTAGGGCACGGGGAGGCTGCGAAAGCTGCCACTTGCAGCTAGTTTCGGCGCCTCGATACGCTAGCGCCTTTGGCGCGGGGAGGCGCCGGGGGCATCAACTGTACGTGAGCTGATGATCCGCGAGCCCCCCCCTCTGCTTATCCCCCGTGCGTGCCCACCCGGAGAGCGGCAAGCCGCCACCTGCGGAGGAGGCCGAGGCTTCTCGGGGCCCGCAGATCTGGGGAAGAGCGCAGGGACGAACTCCAGGGGCCTTATCCTCGCCATGGCCACCACGCCGCACCCGTGGAGAGATCCCGGGACCGATTCTTCGGGGTCGGCGCGGCTGAAGGACCAAGGGACCTGGCGGCTTTTCTTCGCTTTGTCATGGCGCCAACATCGCAGAGCGGATTTCGTTCGGAGAATGATCGGTAGGCCCGGAGTGTCCTGTAGGATTTGTTCCGGATTTCGAGGTGAATTTCGTGCGGAATGTTTTGGGCCAGGAATGAAGGCGAACAAAAATTCCACGCGACATTTACTTACTATTTCACTCGCAGTTTCGGGGAGAGCTTTGCCCAGGAGGGGATGCCCGGGGACCAGGACCCGGGCTTGTCAGAAGACGGCTGTCGGTTGGAGGCTAGTTCCACCCAGTGAGCGGCAGGCTGGCCTCCCACGCACAATTTTTAGGAACTGGTTATGTTCCACTGTTGTGGCGTGTGCAGTGTTTGACTCTGTCTGCAGGAATATTGACTTAATGGGCGCTTCGGCCCCACCTTGCAGCACCCGCGCGGTGCAGGCCGTGTCCGTGTCCGTGCCAGTTCCAGGGGATGCCTGGGGACCAGGACACATTTCCACCATTCGGCGATTACAGAGGGTATTTACGCAGGGCTGTGGTTTGCGATCGGCGTCGTTGGGGCCTGTGGGGCACCATCTTGCCCTCGTCGGGGCGCGGCGGAGAACTCTGTCGAAGTCCTAACCCGCCCCCCCCTTGCAAACCGCACCCTTTGCAGACCACACCCTTCGGAGTCGTCGAACCCATGATGGACCCCTGCCTCCCATGCCGAAGCATCCCCGAGTTCATCCCTGGCGCCAGCGCTGCCAGCGGGGCCACCGCCAAGAACGAGCCCTGCGCGGATTCCGACGGGGAGGCCCAGCAGGGGCCCAAGTCCAAGTCGGCAGCTCGGCGGCGGCAGCGGACGACGATGGAGAAGTGGACCGAGATGAAAGCGAGGAGCTCAGAGGAGGAAACCGTAATTCTAGACGTGTCGTGTAACCCCACCAGCCCATTCAGAAACGATGCCCAGGCGAGTTGCCTTGATCAGGGATGTGGAGAAGCGTGCACTGGAATAGAGGGCTGGGGGAGCCGCCATACCCCAAGAGGGGAGGATGCAGGAGTAATCGGTGGAGGAGGGGAAGGAGGGAGAGGGGGAGCAGGAGGGAGGAGGAGGGGGGGAGGAGAAGGAGGAGCAGGAGAAGAGGAAGGGGAGAAGGAGGAAGGGAGCAGGAGGAGAAGGAATGGATGAGGAGGTCGAGCAGAAAGGCCAGACGCCTGTTGGATACCTCTCGGAGTCGCTTCGGATGTCTCTCGTGAGCTTCTTGGAGTTCTCACAGGGCCTCTAGGGGGCCTCTTGGCGGTCTCAGGGGCCTCTCGGAGCGTCTTGGGTGCCTCGGGAGAGCCTCTTGGGGCCTCTTTGGGGTCTTTTGGGCGTCCCTTGGGGACCTCTTGGGGGCCTTCTTAGGGCAAGATTGCGGCCATCTTGCAGGTGATCGCCGCCCCCCGTCGGAGGCAAAATCGGGCCCCAAACCCAAGTAAAATCAATGGTTGTTGCCTTCTTGCCGAGGTCGTCTTGGATGCTCCAGCGCCTCGCGGACCCCCCCCGTCCAGGTCCAGGGGGAGGGATTAGGGCGAGGGGTCAAGCGACGATCCTAGATAGCAGGCCGTCTAGCTCACTCCCACCCGGCTCCCCAACACAGAAGTAACACCCGAGTGTCAGCAGATCGTTTGGGAACGCCACACATGCCATGCGCGCCACGGGTTCCAGGTGCACCAGGCACCCTTGAGGCCCAAGCGTGCCAGGTGCGGCGCATGCTCCACGTGCGCCAACTGTGCCACGTGGTCCAGCCGCGCCAGGTGCGCCAACTACGGGGGACCAATGGGGGTCCCAGGTGCCTGGGGCCCTGTCGCTGAGGAGTTCAGGATCTTGAATCCCCCTGAAGCGAGTTACCGAGCATTCTGTGAGGAGGGCGGCTCTTCCAGGGAGAGCAAAGCACCGGCACCGCTGGGCAAATGGTGGCATCTTGAGGGCCTCCGCATGCTCCAGATTTGGAGCCAAAATGTTTTTTTTTGTGTTTGACAGGGGCGGTTGGCCTCCCCGCCGTCCCCATGAAAAGACAATGCAGAGTGGTCGCGGGGCGTCTGCCCGCGCATGCGCCAGATTGGGAGGCAAAGGGCTCTCTGTATTGTTTTTACACGGGATGATGGAGGGGCTCATTGGTCCGGGATGGTTGCCAGTCACTTGGGGGAGAGGGGGTGTTTCTAAGTAGTGAACGGTGGTAGACCCCTCCCCGAAGGGGAACTGGGGTTGGAAGAGATGGTGGGGCTGGTGGGGTTACCGATACCTCAGCGGCTGGTGGGATTACCGATACCTCTACCCCTGCCTCGGTTTCGCCTTTTTGGGCCTCTTGTGAGGCCCTGAGGCCCTCGTCGCCACTGCTGGATTCGCCTCGAAATCTTGGTCAGAACGGCACCCTGGGAGGGGTCCGTAGAGTAGTAGTATCAATACTTTCAGGTTTCCCCAAGGAACAGCTCAACGTCGCTTCACGTGGTGGAGGCCGTGTGCAGGTTTTCGTTTTACGCCCCGCTGCCCCAGACCCGGCGCCAGCCGCGCACCGAGTCGGCATCTCCAGGCCGACCGCCCGCGCCGCCCCCGTCGCCGAGGAAGCACAAGCAGACCGTCGAGCAGGACCCCGACGACTCTGGGCATGAGGGTGCTGCCTTCCAGAGAACAAAGGTGTCGCTCTAAAATTGCCTGCGGCGCGGCTACGTCTCCGAGAGCACGGCAGCGTCAGACAGCATAGATTTGCGGAGGTTTGCAGGGTTTCTTGGGTCGGCGCCGGATCCGCCTCCCGACCAACCCTAGCGGCGCCTCCGGTGCTGCCACTTGCGCGCTTCGCGCGACGCGGAAGGGGTGTGGCGAGGGGGCCCAGCGCCGCCCAACCGCGCGCCCCTCCTTGGGTATTCGATTTCTGTTATTAATTAGTCTCCAATTCGGCTGGCCTTGCACGGGATTCTGAACAGCAGATACGCGCGGTGGAGGGCGTGGGTTTCTGTCTTTCTCATTGAGAGCTGGCTCGAATGACCAATTTTGCGCGTGGGGATTCAGATAATGTTCTTCATCCGAGCTGCCGGTGGGCCACAGGCGTGGACTCACGCGCTTTGTCTCGTCACCGTGCCGTGCGTACCTTTAGAGCCCAGCATCTTGCTTGTTGGCTGTCTCGGGCGGTTGCTCTTTCGACCCCGCCACAGTTTGCGCTGCACGGCTCTTTCTGTTTGTTGCAGGCCGTCCACGGATTACCCTGTGACGTGCCTAACCCATTCGCATCAAGTGGCAAGAGGAGCGTGGTCAATATTAGCATGAACAGCGACAGTGCTGACGCGGTGTTTTATTGTGCAAACTACATGGAGTGCGCAGGCGTTGCACGATTCACAGGAAAACCATCGAAAGGATGAGGATTGGGCCCCTAGATTCGAAGAGTAACGGGGGCGGGAACAAGGAACAGGAAAAGTACGGAATGGGGGGTCGAAGAGCCAGCGCGGCAGCAGCAGCAGCAGCAGCAGCAGCAGCAGCAGCCGCAGCAGGGCGAAGGTAGCAAGGGGAAGAGGACGCCGACGAAAGTGGCGGGAGGAGACAAAAGAGTGCCATTTCCTTGATCATCAGCACGCTAAACATGCAGCGTTGCCCGCGCCATGTCGCCGCGGCGTTCCAATTCATCAGACCGGCTTACAGTTACTGCAAGAAGCGATCGAGACCGAGTTCGCCCGTTAGGGTCTCCTCCTACCTTTCAGTGCGGGAGCTGGCCGCCAGCAGGCGCGCCGCCAGGTCTGCGGGCGGCCCACGGGACAGAAACTCAAGGCCAGGGTCGCGTATCACCAGTCGGTTCTCCACGGTCGTCGCCGTGGACAGCATCACGTAGAGGTGCATCCTGACGTCGTGCAGGTCCTCCGCGTCCTTGCACCCTGCGGCAACAGTGTTTCCGTGGGGCCTGGTGCGGCCCTGGCAGGCAATTGACGTCAACACCTCGGCGTGGGAGATGGCGAGGCCGGTGCGCGTGACCTTCTGTTGTTGAAATCGAACGGGTTCGAGCTATGTGGCTCGATGGAGACGAGGCCCGCCGCGTCCGCGGCGTCGATATCACACGCCGTACCACCAGTTTCGCAGATCGCAACCTCTCAAGGGTGGCGTGGTCTCATTTGAATCTGCGTAGCGCGCCATTGTGATGGACCTCCCGGCAGCCTCTGAACGTGGCGACAGTTTGACAAATCGCAGCCCCCCATTGGTGGCAAGGTCTAGTCTGAATCTATGCAGTGCGTCGCTCCGCTGGATCCCCCTTGCAGCCCTCGAAAGTGGGGCCAGCTTCGCAGATCGCAACCGCCCAAGGCGAGGTCTAGTCTGAGTGTGGGTGGTGCTTCGCTCCGCTGGACCCTTCGAAACTGGCGACGATCTCGGATATCGCAGCCCCCCAGGGATGGTGAGGTCTAGTATGAGTCATGGTGGTGCCTCATGCCGCGGGGCCCCCTAGCAACCTTCGAAAGTGGCGACGGTTTCACTTATTGCAGACCCCCCCCGCAGGGACCGCGAGAACTAATAGAAGTTCTGGTGGTGCCTCATTCCGACGGGCCCCCTATAACATTCGGAGGTGGTGACCGCTTCGCAGATCGCAACCACCCAGGGATGGCGAGGTCTAGTCATGATCTGGGTAGGACGTCATCCCGGTGGACCCCCCCACCAACTTTCGAACATGGCGACCGTTTTGCAGATCGCGGCCCCGTCCCAGGGATGGCGAGGACCAGACAGGTAAACGTCAGGAAAAACAATTAGGACGAAGAGGCGGGGGAAAGGGGGGCAAGAGAGGAAAGGAGGAGGGACAACAGGAAGAGATAGGCGGTGGGAGAAAGTGGTCGCGACCGCAATGCTTCAGTCAAGACGAGAACCCAACGCAGGAGGGTTGGGAATATTAGGGCGGGGCTCGCACCCGACGCTATGCCAGCGGGTTGGGCCACAGGGCGATGGGTGCCCAGCTTCGCGTTGCATCGTGCCCCGTCTATTCCGAACCGGGGAATACGGTTCAGCTTGTGGTTTAGATATTTCAGCAAGCGGTGTCTGCTTGTGGCCGAAGCATCGTATTGCCTTCGGCCCATCCCCCAATCGTGCCCGGGTTGTGGGTATGAGTGAGGCCCATTGGACGTTCGTTGGGATCTCGCCGGGGGCATCTCGGAAGCGTTTTGGAAACAGTTCAGAGGCTTCCTTCGGGCCGTTTGGCTATTGGGGCCCTCTTGGGAGCCTCTTGGGGCCTCCTGGCCGCCTCTTGGGGTTTCCTGGGGCCCTCGTGGGGCGGAATGCTCGGATGTTTTGTTCGAGTTCTCTTTTTCGGGCTCCTTTTGGAGCCATTTTGGGACCCTCTGAGGACGCCTTGGGGCGTTCTTCGGCCGTAGGGCCCTCGTGTAGGCCTCTTGTGCCGTTTTGGGGTGGTCTTTGGGACTTCCTGGGCCGTTTTGGACAGGTGGAAAGCTGAAAAGGCGAGAGGGCAACTCGTTCAAAAGCCTAGGTGATTTTTCCCTGTTGGGGCTCACTTGGGAGGCCTCTTGGAGGCCTCCTGGGGCGTCTTGGAGGCCTCTTAACCCGTCTGGGCGCCATCTGTGGCGTCTTGGGCCGATCTTTCGGCGACTCGGAGCCCTCTTGGGCCGCCTTCCTGGCCTCTTGGGGCCCTCTTTGCCCGTCTTGGGGCCCTCTCGGGCCCGAGAAATTCTCGCGCCACCACTTGGCAAAGCACAGGGGGCACGCGGGAAGTCGCAAAGCCCCGGGAGAGTTGAACATTTGAGGTTTGGGCTCCGTAGCGATGTTTAAAAACGATGAGGCAAATGACCCGAGGACACGCCCACTCCGTGCCAGAGGCACGGTGGCGGATGTCCATGTCCACCGGCATTCGGCCCCAGGATGCGGATCCCACGGGCTGTAAACGTAGATGTGTCCCCGCCCCGCGTTGCTTTGCACGTCGCAGCATCGCGCGGCGCCGTTTTGCTTTTGTCTTCCTTTCTGCGGTGACCGCGGCCGGCATCTGTTAGCAGCTTGGCCCAGCATCCAGCGCACCCCCACTCGTCTGATCGCACATTTCTAGCGTCCAGTGGATGACATTTGAGGACCCACTTCTTTAGTTTGAGAGCCCTTCTCTCAGGATGTACAGGCGCCCTCGAACTTCCCCGTGGTCCTTCTGCTTCGCCTACCCTCTTCCTGCTGTCGCCCCCCCCTCCTCCATCAGAGAAGCGATGCATTCGGTTCACGTCGGGGACTGGTGAAGGTTGTCTAGAGCGAAGGAGGGAGCGGCGTTGCTCTCTCCCGCTCCTGCATAAGGGGAGGAGCCGAACAACCGACACACACACACACGGCCGTGCGCACACATTCACACAGGCACATAAGCACACACATACCATGCATTAAGCCAACACGCACACACACAGCACGCAGCACACAGCACACACAACACAAACCACGACACAGCACACACAACACAAACGACACGGCACACAACACACAGCACATGACGCACAGCACACGACATATTTACACAGCACAGCACACGCACACCCCACAGCACACAACACACAACACACAACACACAACACAAACACACACACACACACCACACGCTTACAGCACAAAACACGCACAACCGACACGTCACACTCAACCCACACAGCACACACAGCACACACAATACGGCACACGCTGACACACACACACACACGACACAACGCACAACACACTGTACACAACACTCGACATACATCACACAACACACACCACACGCAGCACACAACACACAACACATACGGTGGAGGCATTATACGAGGAATCTGTGCTAACAGGCGGGGCCCTCGGACATTCCTCGTAGTTTAAGGATTGGCGGGCGCACTTCAGGGTCCAGGACAATTCCTTACGTCATGATGGGGCAAAGCCCTGTGGTCCAGGGTCTCGATCACGCTTTGAAAGCATGATCGACCCACGAACCCAGGAAGTGATTGAGACGTCAAGCTGGGCGACGCGTAATTACAGTGTTCAGAGTAACGATCGTGATGTACCCTGCCGGGGCCTGTGCTGTACTGCGCCGTGCTGTGTTGAGTTCAACGTGTCACGACTCGTTGAACCGCGCCGCGCCCTATTGCACTGGATCAAGCCGTGCTTAGCGTCAGAGTCGTGGCCGAACTGATTTGGACCTTCAGCTCGAGCTGCCTGAACACAGCTCGGGCTAGTTCTAGTAGAGACGCGCGGGGCGCTCGACCAGCTCGAGCTCAATATCCGATTCAGTTCCGACGCCATCGCCCAAGAGATTCACTTCGCAGCGGAGCGAACCGAGCGCGACCACGGCAGACTGGGGCGAGACACGCGGGGAGTTCCACCAGTTCGAATTCGAGATCCGATTCAGTTCCGAAGTGGGACGCATCGATCAAGGGGCGATTCCGAACCGAAACGAAATGCACCGAGACGACGATAAGGACCCCACTCAACACCTCCTCAAATAATGGGAATCCCAGCGTTTCGCGAGAGATATCTCAACACATCCTGCATGAGGAGCCTTTCGCTGCAGCCGAGGACCTCGCTCGAGACACCCTCAACAGAACCTGCAGAGCGAGCGTTTCGTTAGTGATCCACCTGGGCGGCCTGGGCACGTAAAGACCAGCGTTTCGCTCGAAACACCCTCAACACATCCTCTTGTCAAAGATCCGCCTGGGCGACGTGGAACAATG